GTGGTGGATGAAGGTGTGTCAAGAAAAAGGGGAGATGGGGAGGAGAAATGCAGTCAACGTTGGGTTCTTGCTCCAGGTATGGCCGTGCTGCAGCCCAGCCATGGACATGGGCTTGACATCAACCCACTGGTGCTGCAGGACCTCAGCCCAAGATGTCCTCTGGCTCCATGGCTGGCTGTTGTTTTGGTCTTTACAAACAGCTGGATGACAACTTCAGATACCCAAAACAAGGCAGACTTGGAGCATGAGAAAAACAGGTCTCTGCTTGCAGGATGAATCTCCTCCCTCCTCCTCCTCCCTTGATTGAAAACTTCATATTTGAAAATCATTGAGCAGAAGTACAACAGCTTCAGCCTCTGAAGGCTGCCAAGCATTCTTGCTGAGTGAAGCTGTTTAGGTACACCAAAACGTGGCCGAACCTGGGGTTTGCGTAAACCTTTCTTATCCTGGAACAAAAGACCTGCTTCCATGGCAGTCAGGTGCACACACGAATCCCCGCCTTCAAAAACAGGCTGAACCGGTCCCTGTGTAAAAAAAAGACAGGTTTGACTGGAACGGCCCCTTGTGCAGAAAGGATCTGCCAGCCAGACCAAGCATCAAAGGCAGACACTGCGCTGGGTGCTCCCCAGCCTCCGATTACCATCGTGTGAGCAGAGCCCAGGTTTTGCAGCACTAAAGGCCACAACCAGCATCCAGTCTTGGGCTCCAGCAACGCGCCTTGTTTGCATGAACACATCTGAGTCTGTTCATCCATCTCCCTCATGAACACATCTGAGTTTGTTCACCCATCTCCCTCATGAACACATCTGAGTTTGTTCACCCATCTCCCTCATGAACACATCTGAGTTTGTTCACCCATCTCTCTCACCAGGATGGCTGCAGAGAGCAATAGCGAGGGGAGCAACGTGCAAACCGCCAGCTCCAAACTCTCCTGGCTGTTCAGCCTCCCTGTGTTGGTGTGAAGGACCATGTAATCACAGCGGTGCGAGGCACATGCTGATGCTGCTTGAGGACAACCCACAGAAGCAGTTGCCTTGGGATCCTAGTGCTCGTATGGGTTTGGGTTTGGTTTTTTTCCATTTCACTCATTTCTCTTTCACTTCCTTCCTGCCTGGCAGGAAGCGATGGTAAGAGATAAGGCCCATCACCACACTCATGGCTTGCGGTACCTACACCTGTGCTCCTTTGGCCAGCCCACCAAATGCTTTCACTTCTCTCCAGGGTTTCATTTAAATACTCATTTAATATCAGTGTTTATTGTTCCTGTAGCACCTCAACATTACTCTGCTAACCCAGAAGGGTCTCTGAGGACCATGCCACCATCTCTTGCCTTCTCCCATCCCTGCCTTCAGCAATTATCGCTCCCCTTGAACACTTTCCCAAGCAATTGGCAGGGGAGAGCCCCGAGAAGCGGCACCCCCCGGGCACAGGCTGGTGTCCAAAGCTGCCCGTACCCTCCCAGCTCGAGGGCACGGACAGGACGGGATGGCAATGAGGAGGCGGGCAGGAAGCGGGGGAGGAAACGATCGTGCTAAAACCATCGCTCAGCCAGAAATAGGACTTGGCACTGCTGATGCTCAGCCCCGCACTATAATCTTCAAGCCTATTACCTTCCACTGATTTATCCGTGGTCTTTTCTCCCTCTCCCCCTCCACCTGACCCCCACATCCTGAGCAAGGTCCCGTGACTCACCAGCCCTGCAGTACCACCAGCTCTTATCACCTCCTGCGCCGTTTCCCCTCTGACGCTCCTCTGAGCCCTCCTCTTTCACCCAGACATCTGTATTCCTGTTTTCTTCCAAGTAGCTGGGGGTTAAGATGCAAAGCAAACACTTTTCTCAGCCCAGCACTTGTTGCACCCGAGCCAGCCCTGCACGTGAAGGGTCCCCAGGGCTGAGCCCCTGCCAGGCACAGGCAGACCTGGTGGGTTTCCTCCTCCCACCCAGGTTACTCAGACCCAGGCAGCGCATTTTGGAGATAAACAGAAGATTATGAGTCTGTCCTCACGGCCAGTTCCCTCAAGCTAAAATCTCACCTCTACAACACACTCAGCCCCCAAAACGCTTTCAAGTCACACGTGACACCATGAAAACTCCCTTTGCATTTAGGACAGGTGCAGGTTTACAAAGTTCTTCCACGTGTAATAAAATATCACTACTAATTAGGATAATAATAGCAAGTGCTAGCTGAGTTCTGTTTGCTTAATTTCCACCTGCTATTTATTTGCAGTTTGATGTGGTATTCGCTTCCTGTCATGCATTCTTGCAAATTATTTCTGTGCCGTGTTATCTTGCCGATGCGGTTCACACAAGGAGTGGCCGAAACGCAGCTCTGACCATGTGTCACCGCCAAGAAGTTCATTTTCTTCTGTAGGAGGAGGAAAAAAATAATAATAATTAAAAAAAAAAAAAATCAAGGCTGTCTTGTATGTTGTGCACATGTGTGTATCTGAGCACATGTTGTTGTGGGCTTTTTTTTTCTTCTTCTTTTTCCCTTCCACCGACATCTTTGCAACCCAGCAAGCTGCAAGCTTTTTTGTTCAGCTGCAAAGTGTCTGTTTTTCATGGAAAAAGTGTTGGTGCAAAGGGTAGTTGGGAGCCCTCTTAGGCAGGGAATGTCCAGGACAACAAGCAGCTGGGCTGTGGCTCTTCAGACTATTTTATTTCAATAATAATTCTTTAAAGCTTATAATATTGCTAAAGAAAAAAAGGATGCCCTCAATAAAAAAGGATTTGCTCAAAGACTGGGCATGGCCAAGAGCAGTTCAATGCAAACCCACGAGTCTCCCCACCACACCCTTCCCAGCCAGGAGCTGCTGGGACCTTCTCCCATGCCCATCAAAAGTGGCATCGGGTCCTTTTTATCCAGATGCCATCATGTATCACCAAATCCCAAAGGATCACCCTCAATCATAGAATGGTTGGGGTTGGAAGGGACCTTAAAGCTCATCCAGTTCCAACCCCCCTGCCACCAGCAGGGACACCTTCCACTAGACCAGGTTGCTCAAAGCCTCATCCAGCCTGGCCTTGAACACTTCCAGGGAGGAGCATCCACAGCTTCTCTAGCCAACATGTTCCAGTGTCTGACCACCCTCACAGTGAAAAACTTCTTCCTCATATCTAATCCAAACCTCCCCTCTTTCAGCTTAAACCCATTTCCCCTTGTTTTGTCATTAACTGCCCTTATGAAAAGTCCCTCCCCAGCTTTCTTGTAGGTCCCCTTCAGGTACTGGAAGGCCGCTAGTTGGGCAAGGGCCCTATTTCTCTGGCAGAGGAAGGTCAACCCAAGAGGTAGAACAGGATGTTTAGTTGTGTTATGAGCTTTTATTTAAAAAGCACATTTATACAGCAATAATTTCGCAGATACAAACTTCAATTTTGTATTCTACAAAAGTCTTTGAATATTCTTCTCTTTACAAAATGTAACATTACAAAAATACAGACAATTTAATATGATTTTTTTTATACAAATGTCTCTAATTGTAGTTATTTTCATTAAAATATTACTACCACAGAACTACAATATTTTAGTCGACTATAAAAAAATTAATTCAATGCTTTTTTAAGCAGCAAAATGTAAATAACACAGGTCAGGACACAGTTTATAGTCATAGTGGATATATCTAAAATTGTTTCAGAAATAATATTTTACATAGTTAATTTTTAAGGCTTTATACATTATTTATATAATATTTATATATAAAAAAAAAATCATAGCTTGCTATAGTTGAAATGATAGGACGGATTCTGTAAGAAGGATGTGCAAATGGCCGTTCTGCTTTGCAAATGCATTCTGTGAAAGGGCTGCAAACCAAGAACCTGTGGTTTCCGGGCAAAAAAATAAAAATAAAAATATAATAAATCACACTCGATATAGGCACGACTGGATTTACCACCGGTGTCACCGAGTGGAGCACAGGACCTGGTACCTGCCATGGCGTGCACCGGGGTGCCCAAAGGAGAAGGAGGAAGAAGAGGAGGAGGAGGGGGATGCACAAACCGACTGACACCCAGGCTGGGACGCGCCGCCCCGCAGGCCCCCCCCACACACCAGATAAAAAGCTTCCCCGGGACTCAGCCCCGAGGTCGTAGTGCGAACGCGTCTTCGGCAGAGCCGCTGCCACCCGCTTGCGAACCGCCAGCTCCCGCGGGCGCGCAGACAACCTGCTGGGATTTTCTGGGGGGAGGTGGCTGGGAAGAGGACGATGCTCTTTTCATGAAGGGCCATTTGTGGGTGCTGCACATGCCCGGGGGGGGCTCGGGTAGGACAAACCCTTCACCAGGCAGCGAGCGGAGAGGAAGAAACGTGGCTTCTCCGCACAGAGGATGGGGTTATTCAGCCTCACTGCGCATCTCAGGATTGCTTGTTACAGGTGTGTAGTGTGATCAGAGACCCTTCGGAGACCTTTGACTGGGCAAGCTTCTTCTAAACTAAGTCACAGTATGGAATAGAGGAGGCAAAAAATAAACTAGTATCAAAAAGAGGAAAAAAAAAAGCAACTCTTACAACTCAATACCAGATCTTGACTCAGTGCTGTTTCTCGTACATAGTGCTACACAATTTAGTCGTGAGTTGGCTTTTTTTTGTTTGTTTGTTTTTTTCTCTCCTTGCAGGCATTGGAAATCTTCATAGTAAAAAAAACTAAGATGGCCAGCTTTCCAAAAAGCCCTTAGTGTTCATTAGGCTATGAACAATTTGGCGTTCACTACAACATGAACACTCAAACCAATTGCACATCCAGAACTCCGGCATCTCGCTTTGTTTTTTTTCAGCTTTTGTATTTTGTTTTGTTTGTTGGTTTTTTTGTTTGTTTTTCTTTCTTTCTTTCTCACTGTCGCTTTTGACTTAGTTGACCACCACCCCTTTCATCCAAATGTCTCAAGTTGGAAAGACCACAGAGTAAGACTTTACTGGTCAGGCAAGAAAGTCTCTCCCTACATTCTACTGTCTGATGAGATTTGAGAGCAGCAGGTAGTTGCTGTCAGCAGTCATTTTTTTGCAAAAAAAAAAAAAAATTAAAAAAAAAAATACAACACCCATCTGATTTCTCAAAGGTCTACACCATGTTGTGATGGTTATTTCGCTCAATGATGTCCACAGGTGAAAGGATCTCCTTCCGGATGGGCGGTGGAGGCAGGCAAGTCTTTATCTTGGGCTTGAAGAGATCTGAGACGTAAAACACCTGTAGGAATAAGTGAAAAAGGCAGATTTAGCCACATTGGGTGATGTTTCGTTAAAAAAAAAAAAAAACCAACAAAAACTGACTTACAGAATATATACATATATTTCAGTTGCAAAAATAGCACTTTTTGTGCTACTGAATGCCTGCCCACAACACCAACAGCTGTGAAACCCCAAGTGCCCACTACCACCTTTCTGTATGATACGGAAAAAGGCTCAGACCTCCCAAAACACATTACAGAACAATTTCATTTCTCACTGCGCAATCACCCAGTGCAATACCCAAACTTCTGCTGAAAGGGTTGAAAAGCCAGGAAACAGATACATGACCCACGCTCCAAAAAAATAACAAAGGTCTCCAAAGGGCTGGCCTGACTCATGGAGAAGGGTTTTAGGGATGGAGCCAATGTGAAACAATTCATTCAGCTAGACATCAGGTAGGCAATTAAAAGCTTTAAAATCAAAACTGCATTAAAAGTTATCGGCAATGAGTCAACGATGAGTGATGCTCTCCTCTTGCCCCACCAAGGCACTGGTACAGAGCAGGGTCTTGTCCTGAAGCCAAAGGCTGAGGAGGAGCTATTCCTGACGACTTCTTCCTAAATATCCCGTGATGTAACCCCTCTCCCGGATATGAAAAAGCCAGCACTTGGCAATTTCAGGAGGTAGCAACACAATAAGAAACAAAGTGCTGGGAGGAAACTTCCACATCCTCCCTTGGCAGCTGCTGCACAAAGCTTATCGGTCCTCCAGGACCAGGGCACTTTCTCCCTTGCCAAATCGCAGCCCCATGCCAGAAGGGAAAAGAGTCAGACAGCACCGATCCTCTGGACGTGGCAAAAAGTGGTGAGGACTCATCATTTTGTTAATTAGCACCAAAGCCCCAAACTTCAGTCCTGCTGCTGCCTCTGCCAGCCCAAATTTGCTGGCTCATCTCAGACATCCTTGAGCACCCATAATTCAGACTGAGCTGGGGGCTTGCTGAGCCGAAGCCTCAGGAGGAACAACACACATTTGTAGGAATTAGCATGTTTGAGTTTTCTCCCACAGTACTCGGATACAACATCTAAGCAACAAGATAAATTAGGTGGGAAAAAAAATAAGTTCAAGGTGCTCAAAAGAATATTATTAGATGAGCACGACCTGGCCATGGTAACACAGGGAGGGAGCAAAGGTTTTCTTTCCCCTCTACATCTCCACATTTTCTAGCTACCCAGAGCCCTATACAGCAGGTCTAGTTGCCCTTGAAAACAACTTTTGCAAGTCCCTATCAGCAGGGACAGATAAGGAACTGAGCTGAACAGACAGAGAACCTGCTGTAAGTGGCAATTTACTCCTACAATTATAACCGGGGACGCAGGAAGCTGAGCTGTTGTTGCTCAGCTTTTATTGCTTTGTGGAAAAGCAGGGAAGGAGCTGACATATAAACCAGCTCTTTTTTTTTTCAGTGTATGTGGTGGTGTCTGGCTGCTGAGTTGTATAACAGAGCTGATAAAGTTGTTTACAGGGCATCCAAGTGGCAGCATTTGTGCCTTTGGTTAAATAACAGGATCCAGCTGAACCCACCGAGGATCATAAGCTGGAGCCTGGCCTCTTGCTGCAGCACTGCAGTGGAGAAGCATGTTGAGCTGCTCTGGCAATGGTTTTCTTTTGGGTCATTAATAACTGTAAAGCCTCCGTTCGGCTGGCTTGGCACATTTCCGATGCCATCTCGCTCACTTGCCCACCTTGGAGAGCTGGATTCAATCAAAAAGATGTTCCATTTCTGCACCAAGATAGCCATGACAAATCAATTTATGGGAGGAGATTGCTGAGTGCAAGAAGCATATGGGGATTACACCAAGTCTGGTCCTTATTTTGGACAGGAATGAGTTATGGTGGAGCGTCATCCTGAGTATTTTAGCTATTACTGTGCTGCTCGCTGCTTTTCAGGGTTTAATTCAGAGACTGGGTAAGAGGTTTCATTTCTCTTTAAACTGTATTTCACTTTAACATGGCTGGAGGTTATATAAACACTTATAGGAATCATGAAACGTGATCTTTGAGGGTTAAAACAGTGTATTAAATCCTGCTAATGCCTGAACTGTTTAACACAAAAAAGGACTAATAAACGTGCAAAGTTTTTCACTTGGATTAGCTCCATTTCCTGTAGAAGGTGCTCTCCACCCATAAAGAAAACTTGACAGCAGAAGACTGAGTGCATATAATACAAAGTAAGCCAATATCTTATATTGCCACTTAACAATTCCTATTCCTTTTCACTATACTGAAGAAATCCTTAATCATATACAGAGAGGTTAAAACAACTCATCTGAGCTAACCAGAGCAACAGCAGAAGGAGCACATCCTTCCAACATGTTCCCTTTTTTCTCTCCATCATATGAGACAAAACTACACGACACATAGCAGGCTGCCTACAACACATATAAAAACTATTTTCATTTAAGAAATCCTCATCATATTTCACCCTGGATCTGAGTCTGAATGTTTCATCAGCTGGAAGTGCTTGACACTAATGTCTTCTGCTTGTTATTTCAGGTACTGAAGGACAAACGTGTCTGCTGCAGCAAAACCTGGATTTAAGCTCTAGCAGCCCTTGGAGATGAAACCCACAATTGGTTTCTACTGAAAATTACAGCCTGATAACTATGGTATTTGAACAGCCCTTGATTATCTTCAGAGCAGACTCTTGAAGGCTTTGCTGAGGGAAGGAGTGTCTGGGAGCACCCAGGGTGGGTTGGAGATGGTGAATCTCCAGGTCCCTCCCTCTGCATCAAGAGCTGGATCCCAGCACTGGGCAAGGACACCCAGGATATACCAGTAATTGCTCTGATATACCAGTAATTTTAGCAAAAAGATGATAAACTCTACATTTAATGCAAACTCCAGAGTGTCTTAAGGCAACCCTTCCACTTGCTGCCACCTCCCAAAGGGAAGAAAATCTGCTGGCCCTTCCTGGGCAATAGCACACAGCAGCAAAGCCGGGTTTGGGAGAACAAGAACATACTGCTGGTTCTTCACAAGCTGATGAACTGCGACAGGAGTTGGGTTTAAATTCTGCCCAAGTTCTAAGCTGCTGCCTGAGATGTCCCCAATCACCAAGCCAGGTCTGCAAACGGTGCAGAGACAACAGCCTCCTCCACAAACCAGCCAGAAGAGCAGCGCAGGTTGCCCTGGGCTTGCAAGCAAACCCGAGCCTGCCTATGAAACTCCAGGCAGCTGCTTCCTATGTTGGTCCACCTCGACACAGGAAAACCAGCCCAGCAATGCTGCAGCCTCCCCTTCCCAGCACAGCTTCCAGCTGCCAGAGAGCTGGGAGGGGACAGCCAGCCCTGCCGCTTGTCCCAGCCAGGAAGCATCCGGATGCCTGTCCAAGCATCTGGAGAGCTATTGTCTTTCTGAAACCACTGCCAGGATCCATGGAGGGATTGCCTGGTCCCTACTCCTTCCATCTATCGCTGTTACCCCATTTCCCAAGCAGAAATGCACTTGAAGAGGTAAATATCACCTGGGAAAATTGCCTGGTGACGTGCACTTGGTGTCTCGACAAACCCACAAGATACAAAGGCACCTGGAGTGAGACAAGCTACTCCATTGCTCCCTGTGCTGCTCAGAGCCTTTCCTCCCCAAGGCTGCCAGCACTCCCATCACAGTGCTCCAGCTGAGTGCTGGGATAGGAAAAGATGTCCAGGATTTGGAGAAACAGCCTGACAACATTGGTATGAAGGACACAGGACCTGTAATGCTGTTGCTGTGAGAAGGCATCACAGCAGCAGCACCTATCTGTACACACATGCTTCTCTAATTTTCCCTCTCTAAAATTCCCCCCCCTTCCCTTTCCTTCCCAGCCCCACATCGGACATTGGCATCAGGCAACAGCAAAACCCAACAGCTACTGCTCAGAGAGTTCATAATACTTCATAAAAACTTCCCAACAATGACATTTTTGTCTTGGCTTTGGAATATTATCAATGAGTAGAAAGTATATAAATAACCTATTTTCTCTCCTTGCAAAATATAACATTATAGGGCTTAATTCCTCCAGGGCTGCTTTACTTTTAGATCAGTAAAAAACCCCCAAAAATAAACAAAACAAAAAACCCCACAAAAAAAACCCTAAGAAAGTGGTAAGCTGTTAAAACCTCGCTTTCAAGAGTTCATACAGATGCAGGAATGACCATAACCTTTTATTTTTTACACCAGGCAGCCACCCGACCCAGTGCCCCCCACCCTGCCTACTTTAAACATTTACATGTGTCACTTTGAGTTACAGGGCTGTGCAATCAGGTCACTTTTCAGAAAGTAAATTGCATGAGAACAAGCCCAGCAGCTGCAGACGAGCGGACATGGCTTTTGTTCACCGTTTTCTCACGAGCCCTTTCACTGCATTAAACCCCCCACCAAACGAGGCATCCTGCCTCCCCTCGCCGGGCAGACACCAGCTCCCACTCCCACGGGATGGCTTTTGGCTGGATTGTGCAGGGAAGAGCCAAAATCCCAAATATTCCAGACTACCCACTGTCAGAAAGACTTGTAAATGAGCTGATGCTCATTACCAAGAGCAGCTGGAGAAGCAAAGACTGCTGGCTGAGAAGGAAATACTCCCCCTTGTCTGAACCCCTTTTCAGCACCCTGAGCTGCTTGGGTGAAGGGGTTCTTTGCCCAGGAACCTCCTGGAGCTCAAGGCTGATGAGGGAAAAGTTGTATTTTTATAACTAAATGTTGTATTTTTCATTGAATATGCTGTTTGTTTGGTGGAGAACAAGAAGAACTGCGTCAGCCCTCCAGCACAGCAGTGCTGTTGCTCACAGGGGGAAGCACTGGTGGGTACCCCCTCCTTTGCTGGGTGCCCATCAGAGCACCCATCATTGGGTAGGTAGAGTGCTCCGCTCTCAAGCTGTGCTCCACAAACGATGTTTGCAAGCATTGTCACACAGGGGTGACACCAGAGCAAACCCCTGGAGGAGGTCCCCAGCTGCAATGGGGGGTTACGTGAGCTCACGGGGAGATGCCCACCATTCTCCCGGGTTCCCCCCCAGCATCCCCGCTGCCGTTCCTCGCACGCTTTCCCATACTCACCACGCAGTAAGCCACCAGGGCTCCCTGTGCAAAGCCTGCCAGCACGTCGGTGGGGTGATGCTTGTGGTCCGACACACGGGACAGGCCGGTGTAAAACGCCATCATGATGAGGGTGAACTGGAGGAGAGGACGGAGCAGGCGGGCTCCCTTCCACGTGAATCTGGCCTGCAGATAAAACTGTGGAGAAGAGAAGAATGCAAAAAAGGTTGTGTTAATTTGAGGGCAGCAAAGGAGAAGCTGTGTCTAAAATATGCACACACAGCAGCAACTGCTCTGTGGGGCTGGCTGTGGGGCACCCACACCCTCGTGGCTCAAAGAGGAGGGAACTGTCAAATAAGAAGGATGCTCTTTGCAAATGTGTGGCCTCCATCACGCAGAGAGGAGTGAAGCTGGTGGGATTTATCCCATGGAGGGGATGTGGGCAGAGGCAGGTGGGCACAGCCCTCCCTTGGTGAGCCAGGGCCAGGAGTTTGGGACTCCCTGTACCCTGGGTCACCCCTGGTCCCAATTCAGCCTCCAAGTCCATCAAGGTCACACACAACATCCTATCAGGCCAAGTAAGAAAATTCTTCCAGACCACTATTTAGTGCCTAAGAGAAGCAAAGTCCTAAAATTGGGGCACGCAGGACCCATGGCACCTCTCAGAGGAAAACCAGGAATCAACGCAGCACGCTGCACCTCCGGAGCCAGCCCCAAGGATTTCCAGATACAGCCACAACCGATGTGGATTCAAAACGCAATCCTCCAACACTGCCATCACATTTCCCACCCCGAGCAGTCACCTCACCACACGGCACGGCACGGCACGGGAAGTCACTCCTACCCAGCAAGGGAAAAGCAAGGTCCTGGCTCGACCCAAAGAGATGAAGCTGACATGACGTCAAATGGACATTGTCCCCCCCTGTGACTATCTCAGGCTCATTTCCGTTTCGGCCGGTGGGCATGGCTGGTTCCTGTGGGAACCGGGAAGCCGGGCGGGAAGAGGACAGGAAAACAGCAACACACTGCCCACGGATGAGCGGGGCTGGGCGCAGTGCGGGGAGGAAGGCTGCGGGAAGGGAGGGACAACGCAGAACCTTCAGGCTTGGGGAGGAGAGAGGCACTCGGTGGCTCAAAATGTGAAAAAGTGGATGGAAAATGCTGCTTGGCTCCTGCAGCTCAGATCTGCTGCCCGTGGGCTCAGTCGCAGCAGGGTTCTTCTGTCTGTTCCTAAATGAAATGCTGGAAATCTAACCGCATGCACCAGGACAGGTTGGGGGATGACCTGCTGGAGAGGAGCTCTGTAGAAAAGGACCTGGGTGTGCTGGTGGACAGCAGGCTGGCCATGAACTAGCAGTGTGTCCCTGGGGCCAAGAAGGCCAACAGTATCCTGGAGGGCATTAAAAAGAGTGTGGCCAGCAGGTCTAGGGAGGTTCTCCTCCCCCTCTGCTCTGCCCTGGTAAGGCCACATCTGGAGTGTTGTGTCCAGTTCTGGGCTCCTCAGTTCAAGAGGGACAGGGATCTTCTGGAGAGAGTCCAGTGGAGGCCACAAAGATGATGAGGGGCCTGGAGCATGAGGAAAGGCTGAGAGAGCTGGGACTCTTCAGCCTGGAGAAGAGCAGACTGAGAGGGGATCTGATCAATGTCTATAAATATCTGAAATGTGGGGGCCAAATGGATGGGGCCGGGCTCTTTTCGGTGGTGCCCAGTGACAGGACAAGGGGCAATGGGCACAAACTGGAACACTGAAAGTTCCAGACAAACTTAAGGAAAAACTTCTTTACTATGAGGGTGTCGGAGCCCTGGGACAGGCTGCCCAGAGAGGGTGTGGAGTCTCCATCTCTGGAGATGTTCAAAACCTGCCTGGACGCTTTCCTGTGCAACTTGTTGTAGGGAACCTGCCTTGGTAGGGGGGATGGAACGGATCTTCTCCTGAGATCCCTTCCAACCCCCACCATTCTGTGAAGTCAGACCCAGGATGCTTCACAAGACTCTGCAGCATCAGAGGGCTGGAGAAGGGTTTAATACCCATTTACAATCCCTTTTACACACTCAGAGCAGTTTACGCTGCCTTGATGTAAAAGGGAATGAAGCTCTCGCTGGGTTCCCTGAAACCACAAATAACTTAATGACACCATTTACCTAGAAAAGCAGAATTAATTGGAAAGCTGATAAGAGGGAAGCATCATTTTGGCCAATTTAGTATGCTTGGCTGTTGCATAAACATTATATTTACCCCTTTTTGGAAAGAACACACACTGGGCTCTTTAGAGAAAATGAAACATCATGGCATTTGAATGGAGCAGATGCTCCAAATTATCCAAATTGTTAGCCAATTAACATGGAAGTGAGCAGTACCAAAACAGCTCGGCGCTGGCTAACACACATTACAATTCTGGGGAATATATCTGCAAACCAGCCCAAGTCTGGGAACGGAGCCACCTCACCACGACGTGCACCCCACACCGTGCAAACTTGTGCACACGATGTGATGGGACGAGTTACAGCTCTCCAGAGTCCCACAGCAAACTCACACTGATGGAGCCCAGCGGATGGACCACTGAGCTGGTTCTCTCGTTTGAGATGATAATTTCTATGCTTGGGAGAAAGATGAGTCAATAATCAATGTATCAAAATTAGGAGACATGTTCTGCCCAGAAAGATCTAAAAAAAACCCACCAAAACCCACATCTAATGAGGAGGTGCTTTTCCTCCAGGTAAAACACAGCCACCGCTGAGCTGGACAGCAGGAGCTGTAAAATAGCACAACCTCATCCTGCACAGGCACTTGCAGGGATTTAACAGCAGGCACTTCATCCTGCAAGCAAATATCTACGTGGTTCATTAACAGGGGAACTGCATTTTTAGTTTGCAATGCTTATTTTGTTGAATTTTCATTGCCATGGTATTTGTACAGCCAGTGATATACCACCAAGAATCAACTGTGAAGGTAGGATATTCCAGGGAAGTATTCAGAGAAGGTGGTGATAGACAGAGCTGGGGGCCCTGATATCTTTAAGTACAACTTCTCAGTGTAGAGACAAATGTCCCTTATAAAAACAGCATTTGTGGAGAGTAGTATTTTTTAAGCACACAAAAGATATAAAAATATGCTTCTATTGCCACAGTTTAGGCTCAGGATTATTTTCATGTTCAAGAGTCTCAGCCCAGTCCAGGTGATAGTGCAAAAGGCAGGTTCCAGTACATTACTGAAGAGCAAAATTAGCTCCAAGTATTGTATCTTATAAACTATTACTCTTAGTTTGACCAGGAAGACTTGAAACCTAATGTCTTTAGTCTCAAGACTCTGTCATATCAAAGGCCTTAAGAAAGGAATTTGCTGTTGGATAAAGTGACATTTGTACCTTTTGCACAGCCTTGACATCCCTTCAAACCATTCCATCCCACAAGCTTGGACTATATAGATCATCTACAGGTGAGGAAGCAAAGGATCAATTAAAAATTAGGAATAAAAAGCTAACCCTGAATTTGGACACACAATAAAGCAGACACTTTTGGGGTGGAAGTGACTGAAAAATAAACATGTTTGCATACTGACTCACTCCTTCCAAAGCACAGCTCTAAACTATGTGCTTAATATACACATTTTAGCCCTGGAAAAGGTGTCCAAAGGCAGCATGGCACCGTATGTGGTGTGCTGTGCTGGGGCTTGGAGACTGAAAAGTTCAGAATTTCCCTAAAACAAGAATTAATGCTATTACTGAGAAATAGGAATTCCTGGCAATTTATCTGAAAAATCTGCTTTTGAAGGTTTGTTTGGCTTTTTTTTTAAAAAAAACTGGGAGCAAATCTGAAGTGCTGCTTGCCAAGGACTGCCAGATTTAGATGAGAATGCGGGGCTGGATGGAGCCCTTCCTGGAAGAAGATGTAGGAGGAAGACCACAACTGGGGTTATTTCTACCACAGACCATCACAAGGCAGCAAAAGTCAGGAGAAGCATCAACAGGAGCAAGGGTGGATGGAATAAAATGGGATCACAGAGTAGGAGTTATTTCAAGCTCCCATCCACTGTCTCCTGGCAGAGGCTGAGTTAGCACAAAGCAGATGGCTTGAAGGACGTCACATCACTCTTCTTCTGCCAGGGGACTTCCATAGAGCTGGTGGGGACAGCCCACAGCCACACACAACCCCCAAGCAAACCCATCGAGGAGGAGTTGGCAGGGCACATGGACTAAAAGCATCACCTCCAGGCTCCCGGGGCTTTCTGCCACCCAGAAATCCCATCCCATTCACGCTCTCCCCACCACAAAGCTGAATTCCATCAACCACGTCCCTTAGTCACAGCCAAGGTTTCCTTCTGGGAAATGGCTGGTCTTGTTTCTGATTGTTTGACCTGAAGTTACCTCCATCTCCAGCGCCATCTGCAAACAGAGCGGCACCCAAAGCGGTATGGGGCCAAAATCCCTCAAACCCAAACTCACCCCAGCATAATGCATTGACCTGGCTGGGCAAAGCCAGCAGGAGGAAGGGGAACTGCAGAACTCCCACCTGCACTCTATGTGCAGTTCTGGAGTCCTCAGCACACGACAGACATGGACCTGTTGGAGCAGGTCCAGAGGAGGCCACAAAAATTATCAGAGGGATGGAACAGCTCTGCTGTGAGGACAGGCTGAGAGAGTTGGGGCTGTTCAGTCTGGAGAAGAGAAGGCTCCAGGGAGAATTTATTGCAGCCTTTCAATACTTAAAGGGGGCCTATAAGAAAGATGAGGACAAACTTTTTAGTAGGGTCTACAGCGATAGGACAAGGGGTGATGGTTTTAAACTAAGAGAGGGTAGAGTCAGACTAGACATAGGGAAGAAATTGTTTTACAATGCGGGTGGTGAAACACTGGCACAGGTTGCCCAGAGAGGTGGTAGATGCCCCATGCCTGGAAACATTCATGGTCAGGATGGACAGGGCTCTGAGCAACCTGATCTAGTTGAAGATCTCCCTGCTCACAGCAGGGTGGTTGGACTAGATGATGGACAGGGCTCTGAGCAACCTGATCTAGTTGAAGATCTCCCTGCTCACAGCAGGGTGGTTGGACTAGATGAGCTTTAAAGGTCCCTTCCAACCCAAAGCATCCTATGATTCCATAATCCAGCTTTTAGCACCAAGATGGCCAAGGGACAAGGACAGAAGAAGGGCAAAAACCTCCCAGCACCAAAGGGATGCACTGTTTGCCTCTTCCTTGCCTTTGTTGGGCATACAGCATATTCCCACTTCGTTGGGAATATCCCCCATATTCGGCCCTGACCTCCAAGGTAATTCCAGTTTATTAGCTTTCTTAGGTCACCACTAAACTTGGCTCCAAGTCCACAAGCAGCACAGAGTTTCCTTTACACAGGCACATCACTGCTCAGCAGCATGAGGGCACTGGGACCTTCTCCACCCTTCAGCAAGAAACCTCGGTGTAAAGCTTCAGGCTCACCCAGATACACAAAACCAGCAACAGCTCTAATTTTTCATATGAATCAGTAGAACACACTAAACTTAATCTGATCTGAAGTCTTCATCCTTACCCACCAACACACATTAAATACACAAGCTGCCCTGTTTCACTCCCATTTTATCTAGAATCAGCCAACACTGCTGAGGGATAATAACTTAGCTTTTCTGATACTAATTTTTTCTGGATCCTCTGTATGGTTTCAGGCAACTTCATGCCATAAAAAAAAAGTAAATTAAAAAATCAGCATTATGGTCTCATGTGCTTGAGGTGAGTGCAAAGCCCCCATCGCTCTCTGCAAAGACTCCCCACGTGCAGCAAAACAAAACCAAGAGGTGTGGGTCAGGTCCAGACGGCTGCATGGAATAAGCTGTTACATATCCCCTCCTTCCTCAGCCTGCTATAAATATGTATTATGGGCTCACTCAGCCAAGGAGTAACAAAGCAAGGAAAATTAAGACAAAGCGGATTACCCAAGTGTAATTTCCCCTTTTAAATTTTTTATACAAAAGCCTGATGTTAATTGGGTACTCTTGGTGACAAGAAGGCTGCGAGAAACTTAGCCCTGAAGTCTCAGTGTTTAGGACTAAATCCCAGGAGATTTTACTGTGTTGCAAGTACCTTTCCCTGGCACTTTTCCCCCACAGCCCTCTGGGGCTTGGCCTCTATCCGTGTTTTCCTACCAGTAGCCCATAGCCAAACTGCTTCTCCTTGATGGATACCACAGGGCACTGCTGCTGTGCCAGGTGATGAGGAAGCCGTGGTCACCCACCCACTGGCCACCAAACACCCAGGTAAATCCATCCCCATGGTGCAGGTGAAGCCCTGTGGGATGCGTGGGAATTTGGGTATCTTTTAATAGATCAACTAAAGCTTTCTGGCACTCGTCTCCATCAGGTGAGGCAAACTTGAAAACACTGTAATTCAGAATGGGCTCTAAGAGTCAAGCCAAGGAACGCCAAGAAAGACGGGAAGTGACTTATCCTTCAAATATGAAGTATTGTTCAACAGGGAATGCATTCAGGATGTGGCTGATCAGCCAAGTTTCTGCAGCCCCACAAATACCCCAACTCTGCAAAGGCTCCCGGCAAACTCCCAGTGCCCAAAGCGTCGGCAGCGACCTGCTGCGGCACAGCCCTCACTTCCCAGGAACTGAAGAACATCCGTTTTGTTTTGATTGAGATGATTCCCTGATTAAATCCATCAAACCCTACCTTCTGTAGGCGTTGGCATGGTGGATGTCACATTTCTAACCAGGCTTCCAAAAACCCTCTCCATCACTAAGTTGGGTGAGACAGTGGGGTTTATTTTGCATTAAATAAAATATCTCTTGGTTATTAACCTCATTTTTTTATTTTTTGTTTTAATTATTTTGGGGTATTATCAGCCTCTCCAACATGACATATTTTCTGTCTCTCTTTTTCCTATGAGATTTCTCACTCAGGCTCTGGCAGCAGCCAGGGAACTGGAGTGATGGAGAGCAGGGTGCTGTGAGACAAGTTAGAATCACAAGAATCAATTAGGTTGGAAAAGACCCTGAAGGTCATAATTTCCTCACCTCCAATATGCACCACATCACACTGTCTTGTCTCAAGTTCCATTTGGCTCCCTTCAATTTATGACCAAACACTTGGTACAATTTTTCTCTTGACTTTTTAAGGCATAAGGCAACTGAGCAGCTGGTGCTCCAACCTTATCCCACTTTTGCGACAAGGAAAAAAAGAAAATAAAACCATTCTTAAGGGATTTGGTGTCAAAATCCTCCATTGAGAGGGGTAATGGAGCAGCTTGTTGTCCTGGATCAGGCAGGTAGCCCGAGTGCTCGCATATGGGGATGGGGATGGGCAGTAAAGAGAGATCAGAGGCAGCAGGACCTAAACATCACTTCTGAAACCTGCTTCAAAGAGTAGTAAGACAATTAGGTAGCAGGCACTGGTGCAAAGCAGTTTTATGGTCTCCAGTGCACCTCCTGCCACTGGCCCCTGGACACCGGTGTTCCTGCTGTGCTGCCATAGGTGGTTTCATTTCTCTCTTTCTCTGTAACCACTGGTTTTCAGAAAAAACATGGAAAAAACCTGGCGAAGGAATATGGTCTGCACGGCGCCCTGCGGAAACAGGGTCAAGCCCTGGTGAATTTGGGCAGCCACTGACAAAGTGAGGGGGGTGGAAACGTGGGGAGGGGGTGAGTGCTTGTCCAGCTGGGCACAGCCACCCAGGTGTGTCCCCTACCCTGAAGGATGCTGCAGTGCATGACCCTGTGCAAAAGGTAAAGCATTGGGCTTGGCTTCCAAAAAGGCCCCAGAGGAGCATCTCCCAAAAAATAAACCAAAAAACCACCTAGAAGGACAACCCAAATCTTGCCAAGTATTTGGAAAGAAACCACCACTGACTTAATAGGGACTGGTAGTCCTCACTGTTTCCAGACACCAGGCTTGAAAGCATCTCGGGGCTGACATATCTGACTGCCCATGGATCTCCTCAGAAATAAATAAATGCCGGTGTAAGCGATGGTTTCCAAACTCAGCTCTGAAAGTTTTGTGACAGCAGCAACCAGGGGTTGAGCCTCCTGTGAAGCATCACTGGGGCAGCTCTGCATCGTAGGGCAGCTGGGAGGAAACAGCCAGAATGTTTACCGAATAAATTCAAAAGTTTTCCAAGAACAAAACCAAAAACATAAGGCGGAAAATGAGGAAAGAATTTAATACACCACCCCCAACAGCCTGGAAATCTTAGTAATCAAATTATAGAAAGTGCTCATGGGGAGGGGGAATCCAGGACTGAAAAGGCAGGAGGGAGTAGTGGCAACTTTTCAGAGGGTAAAGGGATGAGGGGAAGCACTGCTCATTGATAAAAGTTCATGTTTAATGTTTTTATCAGTGCCATGCTATTTCTTTGCTTGCTGCTCTGAGCTCAGAGGAGATGGGGGAGGGAGGGGCACAATCTTTAATCCAAAACCTTTTTCCTGATTTTTAAAAAAAGATAAATAATTAACAAAAAAACCCCCAAAACACAAATACCTATCCAGATCCTCCCAAAAGGCTGCATGTGGGTGCAGCCCTTCAGGGTGCAGGCAGTGTGCCTCCCGCAGCCCCGGCAGGAAGCACCTTGGCAGCCGCCCCGGCCCCAGCCCCGGTGCAGGAAGGGTAGAGCCATTTCTCACTGACAAAGAAAAACAAGTCCCAACCCTCTGCTCCGGATCCAGGCGGGCAGAGGCTGCTCCACCTGCTCCGCTGGCACATTTGGGAATCAGCCTTCACCCCTGACAGCGCATCTTCCCTCTCCATTGATGAAGTATTTTGTCCCACCCCAAACTTTTCCCAGTGGAAACCACAACGTGGGATGGACAAAATTACTTAAGCCATCCACAGATTCAGTAGGATTCAGATTTAACTGCAGCCTTGGCTATATCCCAAAGCTGCACAGCTCAGTTATCATCCCAGGAGTCTCCATCCCAAATAACACCGCAGGGGCCAAGAGTGGATCTTTCCACCACTAATGTGTTCAGCCTCCTTTTTTCAACTGATTCCCTCATCTCCAACACTGATTGTGCCGTTATTGCTACCAAACACAGGTAAGTGCTTCAGGAAAGCGGGATGGGATAAATCAGCTCAGTATCAAGCAAGGCTGAGATTACTTACCACCAAGTACAGCATGGTGTAGAGGGAGAAGGATGCGTGCCCGGAGAAGAAGGATTTCCTGCAAAACAAAGCAGGTGCTAAGAACCAGCCACTAAAATCTCCATATTATAATTTTACATGTAATATAGTGACTTGCTGGCTGCTACCGAGAGGGTGCCAAAGCAGAGGGACCTACAACCCCCAATCTTTTAGGTTATAAAACCCCTGTTATCCTCCCTGCTCACTCGCGAGGCAGAAAGCGAACGGATGGACAGGATGCTCGCATTGTTCGTCCCTTCCTGGTCTGCTCATGGGACAGCAGTTATTTCCAGGACAGCCCGATAACTCATCGTCTCGCCTCAAATAACCAGGAAATTGTAAAGAAATAAGAAACGAGCAACTTCTCTGGTCACTTAATTGCAGCATATGAAATGCACCCCTGGAAATGTCAAAATGGACCATCTGATGGATTTGATAGAGAGCTTGAAGGGGAGGTGCTGGTAGCCCTGGCTTCATGAAGCCTCCTTGGAGGAGCAGCCCTCTGCTCTGCAACATGGGACAGCTCAAGCTGCTCACCATGAGCTCAGCTCGTACAGTGAATTCCCACATTGAGCAACCACTCAGGGAGACAATAGTGTAGGAGTAAAGAGAAAGGAAAAGAAATATTATTCAGCCAAATCCCACGATTCCCAAGGGAAACTGCCCATCACTGGCAGATGGAGTTACAGCCTTTGCAGAAAAAGAAGCATTTGAATCCTCTATTCAGGATAATAGAATGTGCAGAGAAACCCAAGATGTATATTTAGCATGAGACACTCTTTTGGTAGCAGCAACCCAACGCTTTGCCATCACGGGTTCTCACCTGGCTTCCTGGACCTTGCTGTCGTTTCCCCTGCAGGTATAGTTTTGGATGTAAACTCCCTTAGCGCAGTTGATGGTGGAGAAATCCAAATCGCAAACTTCCAGGAAATGTGGCCGCAAGCGCCCGACGGACACTTTGGCAATGTCTGTGAAGGACTGGCTGATGGCGCAGCCAAAAACGAAGCAGCCCACCTGCTTGTAGAGAGCAGCCACGTAGGGGTTCTGGATAAAGGAGCGTGACTTCTCCTTCAGGTAGTGGATGCGGTAGAGCTCTCCCGTTATAATCTGTGGGGGAAATGCAACACAGAGGTTAGAGAGCAGGAAAGACGCTGTGCAAGATCAGTGATGGGTGGTAAATGCAGGGCTGAGAAAGCTCTTGGTGCTCTGAGCATCCTGAACTAGCAATCTGCTTCCACAGCAAGGAAGGAGAGCCCAGAGCCCAACATCTCTGCATCTTCATCCTCTTCCCTCTCAAGAAGAGGATGCAGTGCTTGAAATGTTGTTTAGGGGAAAATTTGATAAATAAGAAGAAAGAAAAAAAGCTAGATTTTGGTTTAGCATGTTGGCATATCTACAGAAGTGCAATAGTACCCCAGATCTACACCAGCATCGTGGAAAAAAAAAATAACATAAACCAGACAGAGAATCAGTGTGTGTTTGGGAAGGAGAGGTCAGATCCACTACCTCTTAGCAAACTGATTTTGGAGGAAAACAAACGAACAACCTGCTTAGCTTCCCCTCTGAAAACCATGAACACCACAGGGGAAGACTCAGAAAGCTCCAAACTATTCAGATTCTAACCCAAAATTTGCCACCACCAGACCCAATTCAAGCTGCTCAAAGGCTCCAAAAATGTCAGCTATTTCTGGGCATTTCAAGGGGTATCGCCATTGCATGGCAGCAAATTATGTATTTCTTGTGACAGGGGTGCTGGGGCTTGACAATATCACCATAAATCACAGTCTGGGAGCAGAGGACCCGACTTCTCATAATCCTTGACTCTTAAAAAGGTGAGTTAATGAAAATCAGGCTGTGAAATGAAGTCCAAATGTCTCACCTCTCCCAAAGAGGCAAAGGTTTAAATTGTTCTCCGTCACGTTACGCACCTACTTTTTGAGCTCCAGATTTACAGCTTTAGGATTTTATTCATTACTTTAAATGTTTTTATACCTGAGTAATAAATTGAGGTAGTTTTGGTTTGGGTTTTGTTATTTTTTTTCTGGCTGCCCCCTTGTCCCTGCCCCTCTCTAGTCACAAGGACTGTGATATGTAAAATTAACTGTCAGGAAAAATGCCTTCATGTTAATCCCTTTCTGGAGCAGCCAGCAATATTCCTCCCAGCATGGCAGCCTGCCAGTGGCATGCAGGAGACAAGGCTCTCCTGCCTACCTTTTTTAAAAGCTTGGCACAGCCTTTGGAAACTAATAAACTGGAAAAGTATGGCAATTAGACTAAGAGGAGATGAAGCTGTATCATTGTTTGAACTCACTTGTACCGTGGCTTGAAAAAACAAAAGTTGACCTACAGCAGCTGAAATCGCAGCTAAGCAGGCTTTATCAAAGAGAGATACAACTAGAATAATAAAAAATAAAAGCCAAGTTCTCTGCTACTGTGCACAGAAATACTTTGGGTGGCTGCACCATCATCTGGGGTTTACATGTCACCGCTAAGATTTACTCTTGGAAATCTGTTCATGGCCAAGACTCCTCAGAGGAGCTCCAGTTTTAATCCTCTCAGACTCCAAAGACTGTGGTTTATCTCCATTTTGGACCACCTTCCAACACAAACTAGCAGCCAGGAATACTACTGGCATGAGAATTGCAGAGGGAGGTTGGAGCATCTTTTGCTCCTCTGGCAGGAGGCAACTCCAGGGTGTCCTGGATGTACATGGATGCTCCTGCATGAGGCCATGGCCACTGCCTGCAGCCTCCCAAAAGCCTAAATTCACAAGAAGAGGAGCCACAAGGCTCAAAACTTATGGCTTTTGCAGAGGGGAGACAAGACAAATTAAGGATGACATTTGATACTGGCAGATGTGCCATTACTCCAAACTCACAAACAGATCCACGTAAACCTGTGGCTCTTGGTCTGGGAAAGGCATGTAACCATTTCAAACGGGGACCAACGAAGTCTGGAGATTAGTATCTTTCTCTCACCGTTGGTGGTCCGGGTAATTGCACACATGTAGCAGATTGTAAACTGGAGACTTCATTCCCTCACTAACACGCTGCTGGGCAGCCATGAACCTTCTTCCCCACTTAGTCAAAGCCATGGCTCAACCTTAATGAGAAGCTAAAAATTGGGTAAACTTGGGTTTTTTGGCAGTGCCATCCCAGATAAAGAAGGATGGTGAAAAACTAATGCAGCACAGATGTTCACAAACTGAAGGGATACCCTGAAAAGAAAACAAATCTTAAAGATATTAAGCCCTTCGCATGTCTTGCACTTCTGGTGAGCCATCCACATGGGACATATGCCATACCTAGATGATGGGCACAGCTCCCAGGGGACTGTCACACATCTAAGAATGATGGTCACTAGAGAGAAGCCAATATCAAACTTTTCTGTCTGTGAATGCCTTTTGCAGACTTTTGGTTGTTGTGCCCATTTTATCATTACTATAAGGTATCACCAGCAACCCAATTAGCCTGTAATTACTTTTAGAGCTTTTCTAATCACTTATGTCTCTGGTTTAACATTCTCCGTGTCTAATCACATTGAAGTGCATCACCTTCAACTACAAACAATGAGCTAACCCTGTGTAACTTAGCTCATTTAGCAAATTAATTTTCTTAGGTATTTTTCATAGGCTTTCAAGACCTATGAGGTGTGGGGACGCAGGGTGCCTCAGCAGCAGTACCCCTACAAGACTCAGGAGTAGGAAAATGTCACCTTCCCCTGGCCATCCCAGGGACCATCAGCATGCTTCTGTGCCCAAGATGATCAAATTAACCATCTTCAAGCAAGAAGAGCAGTCAGGAGAGATGTGAGAGTGGACAGCCCAGGGGCATGAACCTCTCCAGGATCATCTGCATGGAAATTTGCCTGAACTCAGTAAACATATAGGTATTAAAACCAAATGTGTACCCTCTCACATCCTGATTGAAGCAAAGGTCTTCACCTCTGCTGTTTACTTAATGAGCACTCTCGGTGTCCTCAAGCCATTTAAAACATGACCTGGACCTTTTACTCCAGACTAGACTGCCCAAGATGCCACGTAAAGCAAGGGTATGAAATTTTGGTCACGGCATCCAAAACGCCAGCTCCCTGGAAGTCCTCATAACCGCTGTCCTGCCTTCCCAAGGCAAACTGAGTTGAGAGCGAAAGGAGCGGAGTCAGTGCTTTGTGGATTTGGAAGGAATTCCTATTATGCTACAGTAATGCTGATATCTGAGTTACATCTGAAAAAAGAGGTCAGGCTGACTTGAATTTTCCATGCATGCTGCCATAACAAGGAAATCTGTTGATTCAATTCCTCGTTAGCCATTTGTATCACTCAACAGCAAATAACCGTGCTTTTGCATTTACCTTATTAAGTTACATTTGTTGTGGGCACAGCAAAACCAGGGCAGAAACATCTAATTCTTCGGGGATTTACTTTCTCTTTTAATTGACCTGCTATTTTGTGGTAGAAAGCTGATGGATCACATAGGCAGCTGATTATGTTTCCAGTTTCTGTTCCAACTCCTGTATTTGCTACCGCCTCATTACTGATCAGAAGCACATTCTGCATGGAGACGGCATGCTGATAGCTCAGGCAGTAATGTGAAAATGAGAGGCTTTTTCATTTTGTTTTTATGGTTTTTCCACGCTCGAGGTTAATTCACCTGCAGGGTAAAATTTTGCTGTGTTTATAGAATTGGGGGTCTGGCACCTTTTGGGCTTGTTTTGAGGAAGGAGGGACCACAGGAACAAGGAAGTTTTGGGGACCTACTTTGCTAAGTGAGTATATGTGGTCAGGAAATTACAGAGAGATCAGGAAATGATGGAGATATTCACAGCATGAAGCAGCAAAGTTAGGGATGGGGTATTACCAAGGCAGGCACCGTGCCATGCTAAAATACCTATTGCCCGTGACATTGCTCCTACGAGGAAAGATGAAAGCTAGGATGGGGAAAATGCGCTCTTGACCTCTCCATCTCCATCCTTCCCCAACTGAAGGACCAAGAGGAAGGTAGTGCCTGTGGGAAAGCACCTGAGCTGTGCTGGCAGAAGGTGAGAAGGAAAACATAGGTACTTTTCACAGGGGAATTTCACCTTCAGCTGGAAGCATTTAACCAACAACCAGGAGATAGTTCTTGCCTTCTGCCCCAGTACCAGATATGTGCTGGCATAAGGAAGCTCAGCTCCATAGGCTGAATTCAGTTTTTTGGCTGACATATAAAGCTTTCACCGTGCAATCATTTCCTAGCACAGCTCTAGGAAATCTGGCAGGAAAAGAGAAATGAGGAGGTATTGGGAAGGTGGTGTATTAACTATTTTTTACAGCAAGGACTCTGGGAATATGTTCCCCGTGGAAGGTTTTAATTGTCTTTTTAATATGGCTGTAATATACAATCTCTTAAAAAATCTAATACTAACCTGTGAAACTTTTCCAGGCACTGGTTAGCTGAAAAGATGTATCTTTTTTTTTTTCCCCTCTAAACCTCATAAAATAGGCAAATACCAAGAGTTATTTGAATAGGGACAAACCATGCCAAGTCCTTATTGACACTCAAGTCTTTTTGCTTCTACTCTGAACCCATACCGGAGGGTGAAAAAGCTCTTGCGGAGCTCACAGACTTGCCCAAACAGCTTTGGGCCTGTTTATGGGCTTCAAGAGTAATCTCATTCCTCCCATTACAAGCTTTCATTTGCAAATGTTTACTGCTCCATGCTCACGTGGAAGTCAGATAATCACAGAGGAGATGTGCACCTTGGTAGATAGTACAGACACACCAGCAAGACGGTGTTAAACACCCAACACCGATGGGCCATTGGTACCATGGGCTAAAGAGATGACAAGGTGCCCAAGGGACAGGACAGGAGATTTCAGAGGTGGGACTTACAGCGAGGATGGCGATGAGGATGCCCGCAGCACACAGCACTGCGTCGTTGATTGTCTCCATCGTCTTCTGTGGGTACCTGATGCTGTCATCGTCGCAGTAGAAGCCCCGCTGGTAGGGCTGGATTGTGCTGGTTTCAATGATGAGGAAGGGCAACCCGGCTAGAAAGAAAGGGAGACAATAACCAAACCCATCAGCAATACAGGCAAACGTAAACAACTCCCCATAAAAAAATAAAGAAACAACTAGAAAACCCACGTAGCACCAAACCATGAACCCATGTAGCACCAAAACATGTAGCACCAAACCATGTAGCACCCCAAACCATGCAGCACCATTCCTGATGCTTTTTTTTTTTTTTTTCATACTGCTATCTTTCCAAAGGGAATGGCATTGGTATTTGGATTCCTAAGCTGCTCTTGTGGGGAAAAAGCATCTCCTCTGTTATGGTTATCAGATGTCTACACTGCCTGGTTTCAGTTAAGCTTTGTGCACTGCAAATATTAACTTACAGGAGTGGATCCCTAAAGCAATCCCTCTGCAAAAAAGCCATGAAAATGGATCTGGCACTTTTCTCCAGGGAGGACCCGATGCTCTGCCGAGTGCCCCGGGCAGGGCAGCCCAGAGCTGTGCAAACAAACACTGGGGGATTGGGTATCAGCACAGCTTCTCCTACCTGCTCAGCCCAGCTACACTCCATCTCCAGTATTTTTATGCCTCTGAAGGCTTCCTCAGCTCCCTCCTCTCTGTATTTACAGGATATATGTGTGTTTGTACCTACTAATGCCACAGTGGTGGGACACATATCCTTGACCCATCCATGCCAGGGGAACCTGAGCAACGCACTCAGCCAGCCCATCCACAAGAGCTGCAGAACTCCCATCAGAGCCCGTTCACCTTCAATTACATTAAAGCCACATGAAATCTGTTTTTAAAAGCTGTTTGTGAACCCCCTGTGCAGGGGGTTTGTGAACGCCCCTGTCTGCACACCTCAGCTGGACCTTTGTACCAGGCATGGAGCAGATGTGTTCCAAAACATGGGGTGATGGGTTAGGACACACACTGTGGAGGGGACACTTTGAAATTGCTGCATGTCTGTAACTCCATATTCTTCTAAGTATTGCAGAGAAATAACAGTGTTGCCTCAAACCTGGAAGGAGAGCCCTGGGGTATTCTCCAGCCACGATGTTACCTTGGGCAGGGCACCCTCCTTCCCTTCACCTCAATTTCCCCATTCATCTTTGCTATTGAGCCCATCACAGAGAGGAACAGTACATCCCCACCAAAACAAGCCCCATATTCCCTAAAACTTCTCTTCAGAGTAAATCACAAACCACAAAGTACAGGAAACCCTCCTCCCACCTGCAAAGTGAAACCCAGGTAAGGGGAAAACAAACACAGAGCAGTTCAAAATGTCCTTGGGCCAAGACAACAGGTCTCACGCCCAGATCCTACAGAAAGCACTAGGGAATATCTGTTGACCACTAACTTGTTTAGGTATCTGTGGGTTTGTTTACAGAGCTAGGATTCTAAGACATCAGAAGGTTTTTCCTTCTAAAATTAAAATAATAATATATATATATAAAATGAAGTGCTGTTGGGTTTCAACAAATTTGTCCACGTTACATTTTTAGTGATCTGCTAGATGTAATTAGCAAAGGTACCATCCAGGGAGTAAAAATGTCATCAAAAGAATGTTCCCCATTTCCACATGAAGCAGTTTCTGTATTTCACTTTGCACAATCCATTTTGGCTCCTTTTCCTACATGTTAATAGGTTTGCCTAATCCAGGATTATTAGGGGGTTTTGTTAGTCTTAAGAAAAGGGAAAGTCCTCTCATCATCTGCTCCGTGTCAGCAGGGAGAACCACACGCAGACCTGAAGCCTCTCAGGTCCCCAAAAGCAGCTGGGGCCACCACTCAGGACCCTGTTCAGATTCTCTCTAAAAACTCCAGCAATGGGTTAACAGCAAGTGCTGGGCCCCACGGCGCTTGGCAGGGCTGCACGGTTTCCACCACAGGTGTGAACCAGCGAGGAAAGGTTTCAGAACCGCCTGCCCAGCTCAGATTTGGTAAATAAAAATCGGACATCTCGTGTGAATCCAGTTGATCTTCATTCCATTATTTAACCATTTTGATGCCTAGCCAGCTTGGCCCTAAAACGTGCCTTTGATGCCAGCAACCTGATATTAATAGGCCACTTAAAAAAATCCTTAGTTTCCCAATGAAAAATTGCAGGAGAAGAGCTAAGGGTGCTTGGCACGATCCAATTTCACATGCACTTGAAGCAGCGGCGTAACAGTTGAACTCGAGGAGTAGACATGCCACGGTTACGTGGCTTATTGTTATTTCTCCAGTTCCTCTTGTTAATAGCTTTCACATGACAGGTCTGTAAAACACATGTTCCCACAGACAATAAAATACATCTGAAATCTAAAACTGGCTTTAAAAAAAAAAAAAGAAGAAAAAAAAGAAAAAAAAAAGAAAAAAAAAGACAATAGTGTTCCTATATATTATATGAACCCAGGAATAATAAAGATTTGTTTTCCACTCATTCATTGAACAGCACGGGGTAGTATTTCCGCGTTTCAATTATACGTACGCTTGCCACAGCTATAATAAGAGTATAACTGACCTATATGGTATACATTTTCTTAAAGCGCGCATAGGCATAGTTTAGAAAATCCAATGGTTTTGTTTTCTCTCCTACAAACTTGTGGTTTAGCGGGATATTGCCAATCAAGTCTTGACATTTTTCCAGCAAAACAGTAACCTCAGATTCCCTCTTTTTTTCCCCCCCTTCCCTCTTTTTTTTTTTTTAAACATGAGAAACATAAACATACTCTCCATAGCTGAACGGATATTACTTAGAAGACATAACATGCCCTTGATTTCAAGGGCTGGGTGAGAGGCTGCTCTTTCAACCCAAGGAATAAAAGACCCCAGCCCACACTGAACAGTAAATCATGCTCAAGATGGCTCTTCTTCCAAGAGGTTATTTCTTGGAGGACGGGCTGTCCAAGTGACTAGGTCACCACCTACTTTTTTTTTTTTTTGCAAGAGGGTTTTAGCATGGAAAAGCCTGTAATGGTGCCAAAAGGCAACCAGAGAATGAGTTTTGCAGAAAAACACTACAGAGGGAAGTCTAGAAGAAGATATAAAATTAAATGTGGAGAGAGAGATGCCTTTGGAATCTCTCAGCAAAACACCACAGAGATATTATTCACACTAGGAGATCTAGTGGAGACATCGGTGTTCAGAAGTCGGGCTACAGCCCACACACCCTTGGAAATGGAAGGTAAGCAGTGAAGGGTTGTACCATGAAGATGGTACATCTGACCTCCTCACTCCTGCCCCAGTCTAACTCTCCAATTCAGTGTTTTCATAGGAAATTCAGATTATGCATCCCCGGCTGCACTGATTTGCATCTACATATTCAACAGCTGAATGCCCTGTGAGGGTGCTACATTTTCAACCTCCATCACCTCCCATCCCTACCCATGGTACAAAACCATTGAGAACACAAACATGCATTTCAGAAAATGGTAATTAATGGCAGCTTGCACTGAAGGAAGCAACAGCCCTACATGGCAAACAAAAAAATCACACTATTTTGATCACTCTTCTCTAAAACCAGCCCTATTTGGCTATTCTGCTTGTGGCTACGACTCACCTACTGCAAAAATCTTCATTAACACCATAGAAGGGCCTTACATCCTCCTTAATACTGGTATCTCCATACTGAGAAATGACACAGCAGGCTGCAGACCATACCTTAAGGCATGGAGGCAACCCTGGAGCATCCTTATAGGACTGTGTAATCAGAGAAGCACCATCATCCCCATTTCACAGAAACCAAAGTACAGAACAAAGGGATTTGCTTATTCCAATGCAAAAAAAGGTAAATGGAGTGGAGATCACCTTTCTGAACAGTAACACCCTTCACAAGGTGAAGGAAAGGGGTTTTTTTTCCTTATATAAAGGGGATTTTTTTGCTTTAATAACAGAAGAAGGAAATCCCAACCACATGCTTTTATCTAACTATGCCGTAGGAGATCAAACAGGGCTCCAAGCCACAAGCATAATAGAAATCTCTTGGGGACTGGTCCTGCCCCATCCAAATGGGCTCGGTCCCGCTCCGAGCAGCATGGAGCAGGTGTGGACAGTAACGAATTGTGCGAAGCACTGCGGGATGCCGTGGGGCTGGACATTGAAAAATGATGTTGCTTTTGCTGGGAGGAAGTCCAAGTGACTTGGTGACCTCTAACCACTGGTGTCCTACACCAAGATATTTCAATGCAAGGTTTAAATTTATTTGTCTTTCCATTTAATAAAGCCAATCAAGTCGGGAAATCTAGCACCAATGAAAAAATATTCCTTTCCTTGGTCAGCACCTTTATTAAGAGGCAATTAATAGGCAATAATCTTGGGAAGGCTGGCAGCATGAAAGCTAAAACCCCATCTCTAAGCCTAAACAAAAAACCTCGCAAAACCCCCACGTACTCTCTGACCAGCTTGAAATGTGCAGAAAATCAAAGGCAGAAGAAAAAAAGGGCTCTGTGTTGGGTACAGCACTTTAAATCTCAGTCTTTAAGAAGTTAACACTTGTGTGGATATAATTGGGGGGGG